GGCCGTCGGAGATCGAGGAGAGGCTCGAGTCGCTCATCTGCAGGGTGGGAGAGAAGGTAGGCGGGCCGCCTGCCGGCCGGGGCCCGGGCGGCTGCTCCAGAAAGTTAAAGTTGGGGTTTCTTCCCCCGCGTTCCCGCACGTTGTGCGTTAGCCGTTCGTCTGTAGTAACCACCCAGAAAGAAGAGATTATTTTTTTTATGAGGCGGTTGGAAAGTCGCCAGCTTTTGCAAAACCACGTGCTAAAACGGGCAAGTGCTTAAATAGTAGTGCTGTATCTTCCAAGCAATGATAAACTGCCAGTGAATAGTTATCACCTTGCATCTGCGGATGTCGTTGCTGGCTCCAGTCTGCCAAGGATGTGGAGGAGCTGACCTGGCCTGCCCGTGGCACAGGTTTCAAGTCCTGACAGGATTTGAGGCTAATAGAAGGGGGGGTAAAAGGATAAGGACAAAACCCGTGGTGCACTGAAAAAAAAGTTGCGAAGGTGTTTCGTTTCACGTTGTATCATTAATCAAGGCTCAACTGCTTTACCAAGGTGTCCCTGAGGCAGTGTTTGATCTTGCATCCCAGGGGAGCACTGGAGTTCCTTGTGGGGGAGGTGGGTGATCAGATGCAGCTCTTCTGAGGAGTAGTTGCTCCATCTTTCAGGCAAGTGAAAGCGGTTCTTTACTGCTAACGGAACTGAATCGTTGCTCTGAAAAAGGAGGTGACATGAAAGGATGCTCTTGCCCGACTTCCTGGTCTTCCACGTGAGACTCAGGGGCTCATTCATATTGCCTGGTTGATGATGAAACTTCTAAAAATTTTTTTTATTTTAGAGTAATTCATCTTTGGAGAGCAACTTGGAGGGCCTAGCTGGTGTTTTGGAAGCTGATCTACCAAATTACAAAAGCAAGATACTAAGAATACTATGTACTGTGTACGTATGCAGGAGGTCTGGGAATCTGGGAGGTGCTTTCTTCTCTGTGCATAAGTTTAAGTGTTCAAGGTAGCTTAAATGTAGTTTAAGTGTTCAAGGTAGCTTCCTGAGTGCTGTTATAGCGTTGCGTTTGTTTTGCTACAAACAAAAGAAATAGAGGAATAAGCTTATTACGTACTAGGTATAATTCAAGGAAAATACCACTTTACGTTACTTTGACTTGAAATGTGTACAAAGGCTTAAAGCAGATAGAAGAGACCACAGAGCTGCTCTTCAGTAGCAATGAGAACGCAGTGATGCTAGGCAATATCCTGTTTCCCAATGAAATGCTTAACAGCACTGAAGCTATTGGCTGCTGACACTTATTTATTCTTATTATCTGTGCTGTTTTCTCGTTGCCTGTTCCTCCGCTCTGGCAATGAGATGCTCGTGTCTTCATAAACCCATCCTCTAGAGGAGGGGAGCTGGGAACACGAAGAGCTCAAAGCAGGCTCTCTGGTGGCTGACAGCTCTCCTTCCTCTCCCTAGCCAAGTGCAGGAGCAGAGGTGCCCTGTATCAGGGTCACTGAGCGGTATCTGAGGGAGGGGTTGTGCAGGGTCTATGGCAGCAGGCAAGAGAAGTATGAAGGATGGGTGTGGTGAAGAGGGAGAGTGTTCCAGCCCTGCCTTATGTGGTGGTATTGCAGATGCTTTGAATCTGTTTTGTAGCAATGTTTGTTAATATAAGGCAAATAGTACATTTTATTTCTTAGAGCAGTAAGACACTTATGAAAGTATAGGATTAGCTTACATGCATACAAAAATGATTGAGGAAAATTAATTCTTTGCACTAGGACGTGGCCTCCCCTATGCTGTGCTTAAAATCAATTACTTTGACTTGAGAAACTTGGAATCAAAATTAATAGCATAAAATGTGTACACTTCTTGTGTAATCTTGCTGTATAATAAAATTATTCCTAAACTGCAAACTTAAAACAACTGCTTACATCCTTGCATAAGTTCTCTCACTTGTATTATTTGGCCAACCCTCTGGAATACTCAACAATTAGATATAAATAAAAAGCAAATACCTTAAATGTACTTGAAAGTGACACTGCCTTTCTAAATGACTGTAGTTAAAAAAAAAAAAAAAAGGATTGTCTGTAAAAATATTAACTATGGGATAGAACTGTAAGATCATGCTAGCACTTTTTTCTTATTTCCTCGTAAGACAAGTTTAACTTGCAATAAGCAGATTTGGAGATGCTATGCAGTACCCAATTGGCACACGATGAATGAACAACTAACTCCATGTTTCTTTTTCTGTGTCAGTGCACGTCTGTTACCAGAAAAGCTTACTGTTTACACGACACTAGTTGGGTTGCTGAATGCCAGGAACTACAATTTTGGTGGGGAATTTGTAGAAGCCATGATTCGTCAGCTTAAAGAATGTCTGAAAGTCAATATGTATAATGAAGCTGTGCATTTAGTAAGTGGTTTTTTGCTTGTTTGTTTTACATTTTTCCTCATCCTTTTTCTCTCCTTCTTCTTTCACTTTTTTTGTTCCAGAAGAGCTGGACCTTTCAGTGTGTGTTACAGTCTCTTCTGTCATCTACATGTAGTGCACTGTAGATATACCAAGAGGAAACGTGTATTATGTGAGAAGTATTTCCTTCCTCAGGGGAGAGAAGTCGTATTACAGTTGCAAAATTGACTTCCAACTCTGTGTTTTCCCAGTGACAAATTAATTTGCAGTAAACAGAGGTGCTCCCTCCCCCCACCTGTTCTACAGTCATATGTAAAAGATAGATGAAAATCGTGCACTTTTTTTTGTGTTCAGAGATGTATGATGTTCTTGTGGCTCCCATGAAAAAAAAACCTGAAAAGAAAACGAACGGTCTGGTTCTTAAAAGCTATATTTGGTGGCTGTTATCAGGCCTGTGTTTTCATTCTGTTAATGAGGGGTGAAGATCAAGCAGGCAGTTTTAAGTGCTGTCTGTCTTTGAAACCATTTGCTCAGCTCTTGCTGCTTATAGATTTTGTCGGCGAAAAGGTATTAGGACTTCAGCGGTGTCTGATTTAGAAGCCCAGTGCCAAGCTCCCCAGCTTCTTTTGAAGCCCACTGGTGAAAATTAAGATTCTAGTATTTCAATGTATTTTGTCAAGAGGCTGCTCTTCAACTGTGGGACACTTTTGCTAATAAAATCCTCATTAGAAGTCTGAATGTGCTGTCCCTTGGCTTCAGCTTCACCTTCTCTGGTCACACTCAGATACAAATGACTTGTGAGAGTAAAACTAAGGGAGTGGCAGTGAAAATCTTTCCTCAGCTTTGTCAAAGACTTTTCAAAGACTGTTCAGAGCAATGAATATCTGGAAAGTAAGAGTTTGGTACTTTTCTCTATTGCAGTTGCTCTTCGAGTACTGAACTGTCTGCTTAGCCCAAATCGCTTTCGCAAGACTTCCTACCAGTGATCTGCCTTCAGATCAAAATACCTGTGTTGGTTTTTTTGACTACTTTTTGTGAATCTGTCCCTAAGAAAAAATGAGCCTTTAAGAAAAAAATATGTGAGATTTTAATTGCTAGAATTTCAGCCTATATTGTCTGTTAAGGTTGTGGTGATACTGGGAGAGCTTGAGTCCTACTAGGGCTTTGTTTAAGTCTGAAGGCAGGATACAAATCGAAAGAGAGGGGAGAGGAAAAAAAAAAAAGGGGGCACTGCTCTGCCCCAGGTGTTTTCTACTTAAATTCCCATTTCTGTCAGTCTGGATTTCTTAGTAGAGTGCAGCCAAATCGAGGATACATTCCTGCCGTGGAGATTTTTTTCTTCCCAGGCGAATAAGGTCGTTTGACTCCCAGCATGCCATCAGTCTGTCACATTTCTGAAGCCTGAAAATGCCAGCAGTTTTTACATAGGCTCTCTCTGTGTAACTATCTGTGTTTATGAATAAATAATTATAGAAATTGTGTATAATGGCATACAGATTCAGCACTGCTGTTTCCTGATGCACATCTGGACTCATGAAGCACTGGATCAATCCATCTTCAGCTTTTTAGAAGTTTTTTTCCTTCCACTTCTGTAATTTTAGTGATCTGATACCATTTAGAGTAGACAAGAAGCACAAGCTTTCTTTTCTGTAGTATCAGTTTGCATGTCTTTGAATGCATACTGGTGTTTCCCACCCTTCCTTAATTAGAAATATTATCCCTTGCAATGCTACTGCA